TAGAAAATAGATTGTGTTCATGCCCAATTGCAGAAGCACATAAATTTACCAAAACACAGGCTATACACTTAAATTGGGTTTTATAGCACGTAAATTATACTTCTGTAAAATTTAGAGACACACACCTGTAATCCCAGAAACTCAAGAGACTAACGCAGGAAGATTATGAATTTAAGATCAGTCTGAACAACTTAAGACCCTGCCTCAAATTAAAATTTTAAAAAGGGCTGGGGATACAGCTCAGTGGTAAAGTGTCCCTGGGTTCAATCCCCAGTACAGTGCAAAAGAGAGACAGACAGACAGACTTTCTTACTCCTCACCCTGGTGACATATTCATCATTGATTTTTTTTTTAAAGAGAGAGAGAGAGAGAGAATTTTTTTAATATTTATTTTTTTTATTTTTTAGTTTTCAGCGGACACAACATCTTTGTTTGTATGTGATGCTGAGGATCGAACCCAGGCCGCACGCATGCCAGGCGAGTGCGCTACCACTTGAGCCACATCCCCAGCCCCCAAAAATGAATTTTTATAGTTAATATAAGCAGTTAATGCCCTTTACTATGAGTATTTCCACTGGTCAAAGAAAGAATCCAAAAGGAAAATAAATCCCAGAAAAGAAAGGTAAAATGAAAAGAGGAAAAAACTTATCTTGGCCATGAGACACTGGCTATATTCGAATTATCTTCCAACATGACTTAAACTTGGCACAACAATCTAGGTCAAATCTACATAAATCTATCCCCATGTCTTTCGTGCTACAAATATTCAGGGGAAAAAGTTGATTACTGGTGATAACAATCTTGAAATGAGTAGAAGAGCAAGAACAAACATATAGAAACATGTCCCTTTATCTTTTGGGGGAGAGGTGGAATGAATTTTGGGCTCTGTGCCCAGCCATTCTGAGAAATGTAGTACATGGGGAATTTCAATCACATGCCTAGCTTGTCATTGTCTTCCTTGAGTCTTAGCTTTCTGAAACGTTTGCACGTCTCTGGTAGATGATTACTTTCCCCAGCAAGGTAGCAGGACAGATATGCCCTGGCTTTTTCCCATCTTGGATTAATTATTCACATGTAGTATTTGTTCTACTCCTTCATATGAGCTGGACATGACTGTTTGCTAATTCTATTCCAGCTAATGCTCTTTTCCTCTTTTCATAGGACAAAAGAATTACACTAATGATGTCCTTCTCCTAGAAGTTTACAATCTACCAAAATAATACAGTTTGCTAAAATTGATACTTTTTGAATTGAGCAACTGATGACTGGACTTTCTCCACTGTTTTACAAATTCATCGCCAAAGATAATATGCTCCTAAAATGAGTCTTTTTAAAAAAGAAAGTTTGCATATTTAAAAGTTTTGGTTTGGGGGCTGAGGCTAGGGGTCAGAGGCAGAGTGCTTGCCTAGTACATGTGAGGCACTGGATTTGATCCTCAGCACCACAAAAATAAATAAAATAATGGCATGCTGTCCATCTACAACTACAAAAATTTTTATGTGGTTTTAGTATCATGAAACAATGCATGACATTTGTAAAAAATGAAACAATACAGAAACAAATCATAACACGTGGGAAGCCACCTGTCACTCTCCTCACTTGAGTCAGTTCCCCTCCAGAAGTATCCACTATGATCACTCTGGTGTGTAATCCTCCTGATCGAATCTTCTGTGCCTTTCTACCTGTATTATACATGTGAGCATGCACAAACAGAAACACATGCTCCAACAATGTAATCATAAGTCTAATTTTAATCATATAATTCTCTACTTTTTTCTCCTTGCTGCACACTGGAGAAATTTCCTGGCCAGTAAGTACAGTCCTAGCTTCATTCTTTTTGACAGTTTCACAGAATTCTATTTTATGACAATATCATGACTAGTAAAATAGATATGTGTTTAAGCAGTTTCTAGTGTTTTGCTCTCACAAACAAAGTTCAGTGAAAATTCTTTCTGCCTAAGTGTCAAGTTGTGATGGTTTCCTAGACATGAAATAACAGTCAAAAGGCTTGATAGCTACTGCCTTTATGGCTGTCTATAAAAGACACATCAATTTTGACTCCTACATTGGACAGTATGAGAATAATCCTGGATTCTTGTCTGATTTTTTAATATATGGATATTGATGAATGGGAAAAAAAGGACATTCCTTTTCAACTTGCCTTTTCCTGAATATCAGGGAAATTTAGCATCTTTTCAGTTGTTTTCAGTTACTTATATGTGTTTGTGAATTGTCTGTGTTTTTAAATCTATTCTTCCTAGTATTATTCCAACTGGTTCATAGAAATGCCATATATTATGAATAGTTACAGTCAATTCCTTATGCAAAAATATTTTCTACTAGTCTATTATCATTTCACTTTGATTATAATTTCTTGCTGCACAAGGATTTATAAGTCTTTTGTAGTCTCATCAATACCTTATGTTCTCTGGATTTTTGTCTTTCCTCCACAAATAACAAAACAATGCTCTGTATTTTATTTCGATGCTTTTATAGTTTGGGGTTTTTTTTTATTAACACTGTTTATTCCATCTGAGTTCCCCATGTCCTATTTCCACTCTTTGTTTTGTTTACTGATGTGGAGTTCCTTTGTGTTACTTTTGGGAAGAATGACTCATTTTTGCAATGCCTTCTCTGGGTGTGTTTTAGCTTTCAATATATCTTTTGCTCTGGTTTCTGGAAATGGGATCCATCTGCTTACCAACCTCTAGTCAACTCTCATTCATAGTTCCTTTGTCTTTCTTTTATTTTTCTTTTAATTTTCTCTTAGCACTCTTGTGTTTTTATTCACAATTTTATATCTTCTTGGGCAAATCAATGGAATTTTAGAAGAAAATAGGATTAAAAAAAACATGTTTCCAGTCTGCCATCTAAAATAGAAACTTCTCATCTGGAAAAATAAGAATTCATACCCCACTTGAATCAAATGTATGATATGTCAAGATCATTGTAATGTTTTGAGCTACTAATAAAAAAAATTTAAAAAAAGAACTTATCACAAATAAAAACTTAAAAAAAATTGAAACTTCTTTGTATCTGGCCCTTAGAAACATTTTTATTACAACAAAAATATGTATACAATAGATACCTTGAATGATGCAAAAAAAAGTTCCATGGAAAAATATTAAAATCAACTAAACTTCCGTGGCTTGACAATAAGACATGTTAAGATGACTGGTGAATCATTTGCAATGTTTTTAATGCCTGTAAGTAAAGTTTTCATTTAAAAGAAATTGGGTCATAGCATATATTTAGTGTTGGGCTATATCTTTAAAGTCACATTTTGTGAAGAGTATTGTTGATTGAAAAACATGATTTTATAAATAGTTATGGAATTACTACATATGTACATGCTTCTTAGAAATTAATGATAAATGTTATTAATATAATTAGTTCCTGAAAAGGTAACTCATTCCATGATTTAATGGAGTGAGAAGCCTCTTTCCCATCTCTGATTCCCATTACCCAATTTCTCTTCCTGTAGGAAAAAAACAACACCTGATTCTTTGGTAAAAACAGTCTTGTGAGTAGAGTGAAATCAGAAGGTGTACAACTTTCTATATCCTGATACATATATTCTCCAGAACTGCATAATTTCCATCACTCCCATATGAAGAAAACATTCTCCTTTCTCACAATAGTTATAATTTGAGAGGCAATACACTTTTTAATATGCATCTTTTGGGCTTTAAGGTCCAAGAAACTGAGAATGTGGTTCATGTCTACCAACTTATTAAACATCTTCCATTATAAACTATTCATTTCTCACTTCTCACCTTTGCCAAAAGAACCTTATATAAGTCCTTTCTTGTCTTTCAGGATGCTGGCCAATCCCCTAAGTTTTCCAGCATCAAGTAAAGTGGAGCCTTCTCCATATAGTAGGGCATCTGGCTCCTTTAACTGCATCAATAGTGCATTCCCCATGCCCTACACCTATATTTGCAGATCATACTCAAAATTTTTTCTTGAAGTCCACCCCCCAACTTCTGATCAGAAATAAGGGACAGCCTAGGATTCTATTCAGAGAAACCATGAAGATGATGGAAGGCTGGTGTTTTCCAATATCCTCACATTTGTACAGACAGGCTGCATGATGTGGGGCCCATCAGTGAATTTCTCTGTGCTTCCTCCATTCCTTCTCATTCTCAGGTGTTGCAAACACTGTATTTGGCATTTGGAAGACCCTTCCAGCCCAGGTCTCTTCTTCCAGTCTGCTTAGGTGTCCCTCTTTTGTGAGTCCTGAAGCCACCTGAGATGCATGTCTAGCATTCTCATTGTGCAGTAGATGAACATGTCTCCCACTCCTGAGAAGCTCTGCAGCTGGGTGAAGACAGTTGACCTGAAACTAAGGCGCACACACACACACCTATCCCAATTCATCTTTCTACAGAACAGCTACTGGAACACTTTTGACCACTCATCAAGCAACTTCCTAAACACTGAAAAGACACTCAAGGATCTACCCTGAACCTATTTTTCCAGGCTTACAAGACCTACTTGTTTCTTCTCTCCTAAAAAAAGAACAAATATGCAGTTTCTCCTCCCCTTAAACCTGTCCCAGATAGAGGCTAATGAAACCTGCTCTCCTCTAAGCCTTTAGTACTTATTTAGGTCATAGCAGCCCCAAAGGTCAATTCCAAACCTGATCTCATCCTGCCTCCTTGGTTTTTTCCCTCAATACCCCCAATATTTTTGCCATCTCTGCTACTTGTGCCACCCATTCCAACTGCAGTGGTGACATGCTTATATTAGATCACTCGCTAATTTTATCAATGGATATTTCTCTTTTTTTTTTCTTCTTGATAAATACCATTGCTGTATATTCTAAATTTTCAAACACAAGAGGATGTTCGTTCGATACACAGGTCAGAATACAATGGTGACTTACTCTATTTTTTTAATTTCTCAATTTCATCTTGTTAGAACAAATGTCTCCCTCTCCTTCTTCCTCATGGCCACCTGCCAAAGCAATAACCGCTCGCGCGCCAGCACCCACTCACCTTCCAGCGGCTCCCAGCCACACGCCCACAAGCCTTTGCCTTTGGGTCCCAGGAGCCAAAATCAGATACTGCGGGGGAGCTCTGCACTGGTGCCCTGCTGAGAGGTGTCTGGGCAGGACCCGGACCGCCCCCTCAAGGACCGGAGTAGTTGCCTCCTCTTTGTTGTCTAGTTCCCAGCCTCAGGGGATGTACTTTTGCAAACACACCTGGGGAAGGAACTTTTTTCACGCTAATACCTAGGTCCCTTCCAACCCAGAAATTCTGATTTTAAAATCCACGGTGCAGCCTGATCGTCACAACATTAAAACTTATGAGAAATCCGGAAGCGCGTGTCCAGTCTCCACTATCGAATTTCCTCCCAAATCAACCCGCCTGGGAAAAGAAAGCTGGCCTACGTGGCGCGCGGGGACTCACTGACCATCCCACCCCTGCCGCTGGTGGCACCACCCCCGCCGCCGCCGCGGGCGGGCCAGTCCCGCCCTTGGACTTAGGCTCGAGCCCGCGCCAGGATAAACACCTGAACTTCACTGAGCTGGTAGCTAAGGACACGGGTGCCTGGGGCGGACGAGGCCGGGTTCTCGGCGGGCAGCGAGGGGGAGCGTGCCTGGGTAAGTTGTCGCGGGTCCTTGGAGCTGGCTTTCGTAGGAGGTGGCGCCGTTGAGCGCCGCTCCAGGGCCCAGTGGGTTAAAACGCTCCGCGAGCGCGAGGGGGCGCGGGCGGGAGAGCGGCGGCCGGATCGCAGGAAGGGAACCCGGTGTAAGAGAGCAAGGCACCTCTGAGGAGCTCATGGCTGCAACATCCCCAGGGTCCTGGCTTCTGTGTCCGGGGACAAGGCTCTACCTCACGATGAAATGAGCTGCCAATCTAAGAAAGGGATGCCTCTCTGATCTCTCTTGTTTCGGGGTCCATTCTGCCCAGATCCCTGGTCTCTGCTGCTCAGTGCATGCACCTCCAGCTCCGCACTGCCCCTAAATCATCCCTTTCAGCAGAAGCTGTGGTTGGCAGTCTATACACCCCACACTCCCTGCCCCAAGCCCCAGACCAAGTGCCCTTCGCAGGGCAGAATTATTGTGCTCTGGATAGCAGACAGCCTCTAATTACATTGCCTAGTTAGCTCAGCTTTTGGATTTGTACACCAGTAGGATGGGCACACCAAAGAAATATTCAGCATGATTAAATTTCAATTTAATACACTGGTGTCTTCCTAAGAAAGAGTCTTTACAATAATATGGAAATACTTTATATTACATTATATCCGTGCGCCCTGCAAGGGCTTAGCGCGGGTCAGTGCCTTTATTCCCCTAAATTAATTCAGACATTTCATGTGGGCTAGCAGTGACAATATAATGCTTCTTAATATTTTACCTGTATTCACTCGTTTACTCCTGCATCTAGTTCCCTGTTGAAATGAGGATTGGTATTCTCCACAGTTTAGAATTGCCCTTTTTAGAAGAGGAAACTGAGGCATGAAATAGTTTTTACCGAAATTACAGGAAAAAAAAAAAAAAACAGTGATGGATGCAAAATCCCAACCCAAACTTTAGTCTGTCGACCTCACTGCCTATATGGATACATAGCAGGGTTCCTAAATCCCCAATGGGGGAGACCCCTAGCTGCTTAAGAACCTTGGAGGTCTCTGTCAAGGTAGTGATAAAGCACGCATTGGTCCTAGGTCTTGCATCGTGCTAACATTGGGACCGTGGAATAGTGAAGTCTTATTAAGAGTTTTTCATGTCACATAGGTCAGTGATGAGATTTCTATCACTACAGTGCTAGAGATCACAGAGTACATGTCTGTCAGTCTGGCATGGACCCCTATAAATATTAGTGTGCCTGAAAGCAAGCATGGTGGCCCAACCCCAGTCACCTGGTATGGAAGGAGTGTTGATGGGAAGAAGCCCTGATTGTACACAGTCTGATCCACACTCTTGCACGTCTGCAAGTATGTGCACCATTACTTTGTATTTAAAACAAGAGTCTTCCTTCAGGACACCTTCTTTCCAAGTTCTGCATTGCTGGGAGGCCCAGCCAATCATCTGAAAGTTCCTCTGTAAAAATATATTAGAACAAAGTTGGCAGAGAGTTTGAGGGCTATCTCACATAATAGGTAATAAAGTCTAGTGCTCACAGCAAAAAAACAGTGTTTGACCTGAATGGTCACGTCTCCCAAACCAGATTCTTATTCCCCGGACAGCCCTGGATGTACAAAGCAAAATCTCCTCAATATAAACCATTCTGTCCCCTGTCAGAAAAGCTACTGCCAAATCTTTCTACTTCCTGCCATTCATCATTTAGTTATCTGCTTAAAGGTCACTTCCCATCAAACCTTCACTGTTGCTTTCTACCAGGCTCCCATGTAAATCACCTCTCCTGTCATCCACCCTGTAGCACCCTACACTTTTATTTATAACATCATAACTTTTAATAATGCAGTTAACCATTTAAAATCTGTTTTTTCAACTAGACTAGTTATCTCACCAGTGCAGAGAAAATGAAAGTCTACCATCCCTCTCCACCACAGAGACTAGAGTAGAACCACCTTGGGGTTGGTGCTCAATAAATAGAACAAATGAACCAACCTGGTCCTGTACTAATTAGCACAGGGACCTTGGACAGGTCCCATACATCTCCACTTGGATCCTCAGTCTCACCTGTAGAATAACCAGTAACAACAGTTTAAATCATGTATCTCCAGCATTTCTTTAGAGTAGTCATGTACTGACCCCTCATGCAGACTAATCCAGTTGTGCATAGCAACCAGATAATAATAGTCATTAATAGAAACTCATTGATCCTCAGTTAGCATGTAGAGTGAAGACCTGCTGTTCTCTCCTCACTCCTTCCACCTCCTGACCCCTGTGTCTTCATCTGAACCTCTCAGTAGAACACCCCATCCAGGGAAGTCCTCTGCCTCCAGCTTAGTATGCTCAGCACTAAACATATCTTCTCATCCTGGAGAAATAAGATCTTCCCTTCTTTCTCAGCTATTTGTTAGTAAATTATCTGTACACGTCTTCCTTTCAGCTACAATCACAAGTATAGGCATGCACCCTCATGGCTCCAGCCTACTAAAGTATGAGTCATTGATAGCAAGATATAAGCATGGATCTCTAAATAATTTTGTCATATGGGGAGATCCTATTGGGTGCCTCTTGGTGAGCAGCACTGTGAATCTGAAAAATATTATATCAGCTTTGAAGTTCTTTCTGTGAGCCACAATTATGGTCAAGCATGGAATATTTTCACTTCATCCTCAGAACCACCCTATGGCACCTTATACCACCCTATGCCACCTTATATCACCCTATGCTCAGAAAAGCCCCAGCCTTCACAACTGGACAGGGCTAGGACAGGGCAGGGGTCAAGACCTATATCCTATAAATGACAGGAAGCTTGTAGCATGGGATCCTTGGGGTTTATGAATGGATATATGATACTCACAATGAATCAGTTGGAAAAGGCTTAGGGCATCTTATTTCTTCTCTTCAAATACTTTATACAAGTAGAATTTTCAATTGTCCAATTGAATCTCAGATTTTAAGTATCAAGGCAAAATTAAAGAAGCACAGGGCAAATGAGAAAATACAAACCTAAAAGGAGACAAAAATAAAACCAGAAAAGTAACAGTTATGTCATCAACAGGACCAAGATGTTGGAAGTCCAATCATCCAACAGGATTCAAGGTTATTATGAAGAAAAGTAAAGTGGGAAGAAATGATGAATGTGTCCTTTGAGTTAAATTTCGGTGTGTTGGTTACAGTTTCAGTTCACAAACATTTCTGTACGTAAAACACACAGTGGGAGAACAGTTATGTGCGGAGCTTTGGGCTGTGTATGAAAGCTGGATAAGATATGGTCCTTCCTTCCCTTCTGAGTCTAGAGCCTGCAGAGATGTTTAAGTCGAGCTTCTTGGCTACTTTCACTACTTCAGAAAGTAGAACTCCATGTAGTGAATAAATTTTCTCTCCCTTTCTACAGGTGTCAGCCAGAATATGTCTTCCAACCTGAGATCAGCAAGGAAATTTCTTGTTTTCTTAGGAAAATCACTGTTTAGTATTCTGGAGGCTCTGATCTTTGGCTTGATCCCAAAGCCACGGAAGAACGTCGCTGGTGAAATAGTCCTCATAACAGGCTCTGGGAGTGGACTTGGGAGGCTCTTAGCCTTGCAGTTTGCCCGCCTGGGATCTGTGCTTGTTCTCTGGGATATCAATTCAGAGGGGAATGAGGAGACACTCCAGATGGCTCGGGAAGCTGGAGCCATGAGGGTGCATGCCTATACCTGTGATTGTAGCCGAAAGGAAGACGTGTACAGAGTGGCCAATCAGGTAAATTTTGGAGACCACTGTTTTTTATGGGTACTGAGAACCCTATGTAAATAATTTGGCCTGCATCTTGTTGGTTGTTAGTTTGCTTTTATCAATGCCCATTTGCCTATCTCCAGTGTCCCTTTAATTTAAAAAATAATCTTGTGGGGGAGTGGGAATTAGGATTTTTGAGTTTTTACTGTATGTAAGCTACTGTGCTAAGTACTCTGTATCATATCATAATATTATAAAGTAAAACACTTTATTATCTTCCTTTCACTAACTGTAACACTGAGGCTTTAGCAGGCATGTTAGCTTATCTAAGAAATACAACTAATAAATAGCAAATTCACAGCCAGGACTCCAATATGCCAAATAGTAAGAAAGTTCTTGTTTCATTTCATATAGGCCCATCCCTTTGCCTTGTAAGGATTCTACTGCCTTTCTGTTGGCACGGTCATGCATACACCACACATCACTCTCTCCTGGGCCACTTTGTGGCTCTCAGAATTGCTCAACTTAGTGAGAGGGAGGAACCAAGCCAGTCTGCTGCAAGCAGCCCAGCTATTTTGCAACCTGCTTCCATGCTCCACCAATACCTTGGTACTCCCTCCCTCACCTCCTAGTAGGGAGCTTTGCAGGTCACAGCCATGAATTCTTGCTTTCTATCTTATATCTTTCTTACCACCATCTCCATACACAGGCTGCCCATTACAATATGGAGATCCAAACCTGACAAGCTCACATAGTTTTATGCTGGGGCCACCCTTCAAGTGCAGCCAACCTCCCAGACTCGGTGGTTAACACATGAAGCACTGATCACCTGGTCGACTGACTTACACGAACTACCACCAACTCCTCAGGCCAGTCTTAAAGAAAAAAATGGTTCATATTCAAACAAGGAGGGTTTTTAGCTATTGGGCAGGTTACTGTGAAGTGCTCTATCAATAATCACCTCCCTCGTCCCTGGATCTGTAAATTAGTTCTGTCAAGCTGCTTGGCTTCTTAAGTGGTCCAACATGTCATAGTATTAGCTCATTATTCAGTTTTTATCACTTTGGGGTCTTGGAAAGAATCAATGATGTGCTTTTCTGAATTCCAGGGAAGCAAATTACTCCCCATCTTTATAAGCCAACCATTTCCACTTCTTTTTCTGGATAACAAGAACATACCAGAGAATTCTTAAGAAGTATCCCCTGGGAGATTGACCAAAGAGAAAATTTTTAGTGTAGTATGACAGTGTTTAAAAATTGTGTCCCTGGATCATGACCTAGCCTTGAATTCAGAAGGCCCAGCCCTGCTCTTTGGCAACTCAGATGAGAGATTATTTTGTTCAGTAAACACAAGGTAAGGCTGCAGCTAGGTAGTTGTCATTTATCCTTGATGTGATATGTGGGAATGTCCTAACTATATATTTAATGATAGTGAGCCTTAAACAAGGTAATTTAGGGTCAGTGTGGCTTGGCATACCTCCTACTGTGTCATTAAATTAAGCAGCTCAAAAAAATCATAGCATCTTCAAAATTTCTTAAAATTTATTTCTGATTCCTAATGTTCAAGATCCTGGGATACATGGTCACTGGGAGAAGCAGATATTTCCTACTGCCCACTACACTAGTTAGGAGTGGTTGGGCAGTCTCCGTGGTCAGGGAATCCAGAGCAGCCATCTTGGCAATTTGGAGCTGGATGGTGACATGCGTGTCAGCCAATGGGCTTCCAGCAGTTTTGTGTTTTCATAGGGTGGGCATGCAGAGGGAAAGCCCAGCTAACAGATGGGCACAGTTCATGTGCTGGTCTTTGGAGAGTTGTCATACAGGGTTAAACAGATTCACTCTTACACTAAGGAAAATAATAAAGAAGGAAGGAAGGAAATCACTTAAGAATTAGAATGCGTTGCATCTCCTTAAGGTATGACTCCTGGGCCCTTATTAAAAAACACTGTGCCAGCAAGATTTTTCTCATTGCAAGAATGAGCATGTTACTGTTACCATTCATCATCAATAGTTATAGCACATAACCTTTGGTGTAACCTCTGGCTTTTCCATCCCTGACCCTGAGCTAGGACACCAGCCTTTAATACTGGTGCTGTCTTTTAACCCTGGTCCTTCTCTGGCTTTGGCTTTGGCCTCACATGGAACGATCTACTCGTTTCTAGCCTTGACAGCTGTCCAAGTTGGATTTTATGAAATATTTTCGCCACTCTCCAAATCAGGCTTGTAGTTAATAGTTTCCAGTGCTTTTTGAAAACTCTAGCTTAAAATTGAGGTTCCCCCTAGTTTCTATTTCATCCACAATTTTTCCTTGGCAACAGACCCAGGTAGTCTGAATGATTAACACACCTCATCCTGATGCCAAGAACCAGGCCTTCCTGGTTGATGACTAGCAGATGAAAAAGATGGCAGCTTCTGCCTGGCCTCTGTGACACCTTGTCCCCTTTGCCATACTGCAGTGATAACTTTGTGTCATCCATACAGGCAGGTGCACATGTACACACACACACTGCCGGAGATGTAAGTGGCACCTCTGTGAGCCTCCTGTAAGAACACATGGCAACTACAGTGGGTGGTTCCCTCTGACTTTATGGGTCAGGGCTGTTGCTGTGTGGTCTGAATTGCAGTGATGAAATTCAGAACACAGATGAGAACACAGGGACAGTCCCACCTCCTCTCATCAATCCTAGAAAGGCCTCTGTCCACTTCTCACATAAAGCCAAGATTACACACTGAAGGTTTGTTAAAGGGTAAAGGCTCCAGTGTTACACCCAGAATTTTGGTTTTCTAAATAAAAATGATTGAATGCCTATATTAACCCATATTACAGCAACACACATGACTCACAGATCTAATACCTGAAATTTTGAGATGGAGAGAAGAAAACCAGCCCATTGATAAGAACAGGGCAGGCAGATTCTAATTTGTGCTGTGTGTTGAAAACCTACATTATCCTTCTTTCTCTTGCTTATTCCCTACTACTCGCCCATCTCTGTGTGTGATAGGTCTTGATCTATATGCTATTTGCTCATAATAAGGCTATTCTTATGCCCCCTCACATGGATTAAAATGATAAGCTGCTAACAGAGGGCATAAAACAAAGGTATAATCACAGAGTAGAAGAACAGCTCTAAGTGGCAAAGGAAAGTAGCATTTCAGCAATGGAATCTTTTTAATCTCAGAGGGAGAAAGAAGAAGAAAAGCATCAGATTTTGGATCTCTGGTGTGCAGTCGACATCTCAAAGGAAATAAAACAAACTTTTTAGAATGCAAAAATTCAGTGTGAGTTAAGGATGAAAAAGATATACAACTGTGGGAAAATCAAACCCAAATCATGTAAGGAATTCCTATTTTGATGGGGTTGCTCTTGTTATTTAACTCAGGTTAAAAAAGAAGTTGGTGATGTTTCCATCCTAATAAATAACGCTGGAATCGTAACAGGCAAAAACTTCCTGGACTGCCCAGATGAGCTTATGGAAAAGTCATTTGATGTGAACTTCAAAGCACATTTATGGGTAATTACTTTTCTTCTCATAATACGTGTAAAATTAGTCATTGCAAAGTACTTTTGTACTTTCCTCTTGCTCTTTAACATTATCAGACTTTCAATAAAGCACAGACATCTTAATTTTTTTTTCAGTGCTGGTGTTAGAATCCAGGGCCACACACATGCAAAGGAAGCACTCTGTCACTGAGGTACACCCCCGACAAGACACCTTAATTTGGGTCTTGTCCTGGATCACTCACCTATCCTCTTTTGAGCCAATTTAATCTCTAACTCCAGAACTTCTGTTCAGGGAATCCTACAGAGACAGAACCGTCCTAATGGTCAGATTTCCATTTATTGATTGTGGCAAATGTCTGGGGACTATTCCAGGAAGCTCACATGTCTTCTGTATCCACAGGTTTCACATCCATGGATCTAACCAGTAATAGATCAAAAATATTGAAAACAATCTAAATTTTTCCTCGTCATTATTCCTAAGCAACACGATATAACAACTATTTACAGAGCATTTACATTGTGTTGGATATTATTAGTAATCTAGAGATGGCTTAAAATATAGGGGAGTATGTGCATAGGTTATATGCAAATATATGCCATTTTACACAGGGAATTTGAGCATCTGTGGATTGTGGTATCTGTGGGGATCCTGGAACCAGTCCTTCTCCCTGAATATCAAGGGATGGTCTATTCCTTAAAACAGTTCTGTAAGATGTATAAGGATCATAGAACATAAAATTTTGGAGGCGGGGTGGGTACCAGGGATTGAACTCAGGACCACTCAGACACTATGCCACATCCCCAGCCCTATTTTGTATTTTATTTAGAGATAGGGTCTCACTGAGTTGCTTAGCACCTTGCTTTTGCTGAGGCTGGCACTGAACTCATGATCATCCTGTCTCAGCCTCCAGAGCCACTAAGATCACAGGTGTGCGTCACTGCGCCCGGCTAAAAATTTTTTCAAGGCCACATGTGTGGCATGACCAAGGTAATTTTACAACTTTACAGTAGGCTTCATCAGGGACATTTTATTTATTTATTTACTTTGGGATGAGATCTCACTTGCCCAGGGTAGTCTCGAACTCCTGGACTCAAGTGATCATCCCCCCTCAGCCTCCTAAGTAACTGGAACTACAGACATAAGCTACCTCACCTGGCTCTAGCAGGGACATTTTCAAAAATAAAGGGGGCACCATTAATAGGAGGCCTATTCTAGGCAAACCAAGACCTTTCTCAGTGCCTGAGTAGAGAAAGGAGTGGTTCTCCCAGTAGCACCATGTGCCACCAGTGCTAAGGGACACAGCCCTGCCTTCCAAAGAGATGTGTCCACGCCCATAAGTTGCATTTTCCTGGCCTTTGCTGACACCAGCCATCACGGGGCCCTCACACCAAGCATGTGGCCTCATAAGGCCTCTCCCAGCTTTGGATCCAATTGTTCCAGCCCTGGACACAGCTCCTCATTCTTGGGCAAGGAGGAGGAAAAGCAGGAAGAGGGCACAGGAGAACTTCCCTAACTTACATGGTAGTTCTCCTTTTTTTTTTTTCTAGTTTTTTCTTGCGAGTTGTTCCTTAAATGCTAGTGTTTCCCTGGCCCCTGAAATTCCCTCCCATGGTCTCCATTCACTCTAGAAAGTTCAAATGCCTATAGGTGACCTGGCACAAAGTGTGTGATTTAGTTACCAGGGGTTCAGAGAGCTGTAAGACAGCCAGGCTCCCAGCCTTCAAAGGCAGCATCCCAACTGAGAAGCAGAGGGACCCGTGCAGATCCTGAACACAGGATGCTTTTTATTATGCTGTGCTGTTTCCTTTTCTTTGTTTTGATTTTCCACCTCTTGCTATGTGTTCATTTCTGAAATTTAATGCATTGCAGGCAAATGAAGAGGGCTTGACCTCTGTGAGAGATCCCTCTACTTAACATTGTTTTCCACATATGTGACTAATTACTGCTTTGTTACAGGAAATGCCTTCTCCAACAGCTCATTTCTCTCCCCTGTACGTCCTTTCTCCAGATTCCTAATCAAATATGAAGGTGTTTTTAGCCAGGTGGAGTGGTGTACGCCTGTAATCCCAGCGACTGAGGAGGCTGAGGCAAGAGGTCAAGGCCAGCCTCTCGGCAACTTAGCAAGACCCTGTCTCAAAATAAAAAATAAAAGTGTTGGGGGTGTAGCTCAGTGGTGGAGTAACCCTGGGTTCCATCCCCAGTACCACAAGAAAAAAGAAGCAGAAGGTAAAAGTATTCTACATGACTAAGACAGAACAACATAAGTTCTAACAAATAATCTATTTTATGAATTGGAATAAAAATGAAAGAAGTAGAGGTGAGTTTCAGTTTAAAACAAAATGCTATTTTTCAGTAGTTGTCAACAGCAGGCTATCTTATAATGGTTAGAAAAAAAATTGAAATTTTAAATAAGCCAACAAGGAAAAAAAGCAGTATATAACTTAACAATCATATCATTTAAGTACTCCTTGGTTTTTAGTTTGCAGCTGCCACAGCTGATTTTCCTATACTGCTTCAATTGTTGTCTTAATATTGTGTTGTTAAAGCTCAAATGCAAACACAAAAATAAGCATGAATTTTCAAAATGGTGGAATTGCCTTAGTAAAATATTGATTTAACATGTTAATCAGGTTAAAATAATTAACTTTCCAGGTGTTGTAGTTTTTATATTCCAGTGCCTTCAGGTATTTTTATGAACTAAAATCATTTTCAATCATAAGTATCATATAGATATCTGAGGAAAGTATACAATGTGGTATTAAGTGTTAAAAGTTTTCCTTTGCTCTTCTTAGACTTATAAAGCCTTTCTACCTGCTATGATTGCTAATGACCATGGACATTTAGTTTGCATTTCAAGTTCAGCTGGATTAGTTGGAGTAAATGGGCTGGCAGGTAAGAGAAATATATTTCATAATCGCAAAATTATTTATAACCCTAACTTACATGGTAGTTCTTAATAACCAGCATTGACTGTATAACCCTAATAATAAAGTATAATGAATCTTAGGAAACAAGAGAAGTGGTTGAGAACTGCCCATCAGATAAACAAAGTTGGACTATGCCCTTTGGAATCATTAGGTCTTATGCAATCCCCAGAATTTAAAAGACAGAGACCCAGCAATACAGTTGTGCCCAAGCAATTAAATTCACCTTGCACTGTCAGCAGGCCGGGAAGGAAGACTACCTGCCTTCTCTCGAAGAACATAATAGTCATTTTCATCACACTGTGGACAGGGGATAAAGGGATAAACTAAGATCCTTGGCCAAAGAGACCCAATTCAGGAACTGACACTAGGAGGAGCAGAAATCTTGACCTCACCCTACCAGCAGTCCCCTGGAGCAACTGTCCTGGGTCCTGGCTTGCACAGATCAACAGAAACTCATGTAATAGAACTGTAGCAGCAACACTCAGATAACAAATGAGAGAGTTTGGTGATCAGGCACTTCTGAACCACTTGAGCCAAGTGTCAAGGCTCAAGGTTCACAAATTCATGTTAGTTCAGTGCATTTCAGTGACATGAATAGGGTTTCCAGAACCACCCATCCACTCAGAATATCACCACTTTGTACTCCCTGGACCCTGGACTTCCTTCTGTCCTTTTTAGAATTCATCACAGGTTATTAATACCTCTCTATTACATGTCTTATAAATCACAGGCTTTTGAAATCACTCAGGAATATTTACAACTGCTGTTAATCCTTTTTCTGACACAATGTCTCTGTCTTCAAAGATGAGACTTGTCCACCCCCAGCTCACCTGAGAAATTAAGTGTAAGACTTGTTTCCCACGATGTGTATTTCCCACAGAATGAGTCTTGGTCTGCTGTGTCACAGCCACCCTCCCCAGGGAACTATTTGAAAATGCAGATGCTGTGTGTCCTCTGATCTTTCTGCTTACCAGAATCTCAGGAATTAAGGGCTCAAAGAGCTGCATTTACACCAGATGTCTGAGATCATCCTAGAAGCTGCTCCAGACCCTCCTGTCCCCTTTTCCTCCCTCTAGCCTCTTACCTCTGTCTATGCACCCCTGAGGTCTGACAGTCCCATACCTGGCACCTTTACCTGGCTCTTGTCAGTTGTAACAGCCGCATCAAAACATAGCAAGTAAGTATTCTCCTTTTGACCGTGAAGCAAAAGAAAGTATTAATCCACCTCAATTCCATTTCTCCAAATCTTTTTCACTCAGCGAATTGAATGTCCAAGTACTTTCTTGAAGCAAAGATGATTAAGGACAGAATGCTCAAAACCTATGTTAGTTCCATTCTCCACTTCCCCCTGCATTTTCAAGGTCTTTAAAAAATGGCAGTTGAAGCTAGGAAGTCCTTTTGTTTCTTTTCTGGAAGTGGAAGAGTTATAATTGGAAGTTACATTCTGCCTCTCATGGAGGCAGCAAGCAGTTTGTTTTCATCAGTTTATTTTAAACATTTAGAATGTTTGTTTAATGTGATTTTATGTATGTGTATATTTGTGTGTGTGTGTGTGTGTGTATATATATATATATATATATATATAAACATCAGTATAATAATGAGAATTGTCATTTTCCATTTCCAATTCTAGTTAGGTTATTACTCATCACAATGATAATAAGGTAGTCGTAGTTGAAAGAAAATTTGGTCTGATTATCACAGCCCTTGCTGACCCCTCTTGCTTCCTACATGACTAGGAAGTCACGTAGGAAGGTTTATTTCCTTTTAGGGATGTCTTTATGTCCCAATGGACTTGAAGTTTTTTGAGATAGGTTCAGGATGCACATATGGTGCCCCATGAAACAGCTAACACAGGATCAGACAGTCATTAACTTGTAATTAGTCTAGCAGTGTGGCCTATAGGAGCACCCCTGCAGCCCTTCCTATCTTGGAGTTGGTCATTCTCATCTTGGAGTTGGTCATTCTCATCTGACATTCTGTTGACCACATTTCTTCCTACTCACTCTTCCTCCTTCCAATGGAGCTAGGCCCAGATCAGAAGAACTCTGAAATTGTTGTCACATTTTCTGCTGCTATTAGTGTTATGAGTAAACCTTAATGTAATTCCATTTAAAAACTGTGGAATACAAGAATATCTCAGAGATACTGCAGGTTTTGTTCCAGGCTACTGCAATAAGGTGAGTCACATGGGTTTGTTTTTTTTTTAATTTCTCAGTGCAGATGAAAGTTAGATTACACTATACTGAAAATATTAAGTGTGCAGTAGCATTATATTTTTTTAAAAATCACACATTACGTACTCTTTTTTTAATGTCTTTATTTTATTTTTAATTGGTGTTGGGGAATCAAACCCAGGGCCTTGCCCATGCTAGGCAAGCGCTCTACCTCTGAGCCACAACCCCAACCCCATGCATTATGTTTTTAACCTTAACTTAAAAATGTCCCACTGCTGCTGGGTATAGTGGTGCACACATATAATCTCAGCGATTTAGGAGATCAAGGCGGGAGGATCACAAGTTCAAGTCTAGCCTCAGCAACTTAGTAAGACCCTATCTCAAAAAAACAAAAAGGGGGGGAGCTGGTGTGCAGCTCAGTGGTGAAGCACCCCTAGGTTCAAACTGCAGTACCAAAATAAACAAAACAAAACAAAAAACCTGTACTGCTAAAAATATGATCATCTGAGCTGTTGGAAAAATGGCACCAATAGACTTAATGCAAACTTGCTGTAAACCTTCAGTTTATAAGATAATATCTGTGAAGCACAACGAAGCAAAATACAATAATACAATACAAGTATGCTTTTTCACTGCTGTGACCAAAAGACCTGACAAGAACAATTTTATAGAAGTACATATTTATCTGGGCTCATGGTTTCAGAGGTCTCAGTCCATAGATGGCCAACTCTATTGCTCTGGACCTAAGGTTAGGCAGAACATCATGGCGGAAAGGTCTAGAGGAAGAAAGCAACTCAGAACATGGCATTCAAGTAGCAGGGAGGAAAAAAAAGAAGCAGAAAGAGTGCTGTGCTACCAGAGACAAAATATATACCCCAGAGACACACACTCCCAGTGACCTTCCTCTTCCAGCCACTCCCTACCTGCTTTCAATTACCACTCAGTTAATTCCTGTCATGAATTAATGCATCAGTTAAGTTTAGGTTCTCATAATCCAATCACTTCACCCTGGACTTTCTTGCATCGTCTCACACATGAACTTTTGGGCGTCACCCCATATCTAAGCCATAACACCTATGTACATAAGTGTTGTTTGTCTCTTTCAGATTATTGTGCAAGTAAATTTGCAGCCGTTGGTTTTGCAGAATCTATGTTTGTAGAAACATTTGCCCTAAAACAAAAGGGGATTAAGACTACAATTGTGTGCCCATTTTTTATAAAAACTGGAATGTTTGAAGGTTGTATGACTAGGTAAGCATGCCTTTTGATTTCAAGGAAACAACATCGTTAGAAATGATTGGCTATCTATTTGATTCTGTTTTATCTGTTTTTTAAAGTTGTTTAGAAGATGTCTTTCTATCATTCAGCCTGATTGTATAAGTAGTGTCAGAATTCTGTCTTCCCATGTGTTTGTGTTAACATACTGAATCAAATGCAAATGCTTTATGAAGGCTACTAGTAGTTGTAGTAGCCATCTTGTGGCCCCAGATCTGCTGTTTTAACTTCCAGATTGTCCTTTCCACCGTCCCTCTCTGCCATCCAATCCCCAATTCAACCCTCTTCCCTGATTCCAGGAGGACTAGAACTCATTGAGGGAAACTCTACTTAGTTTGGGCTGCTATAACAGAATACACCATGTGGCTTAAACAACAGAAATTTCTTTCTCACATAAAGACTAGAAGTCCAAGATCCAGTATCTGGTGAAAGTTGCATATGACAGCTTTCTTCTTGCTATACCATAATTTGGAGGAAGGAGGGGGAGACACACACACACACATACACACACACACACACAGAAAGAGAGATCATCTTTATTGTGGCTCTTCTCATAAGGGCACTATTTTCGTCAGATTTTTTTTTTTTACAGCTATAACCAAAAGACCTGACAAGAACAATATCAGAGGAGGAAAAGTTTATTACCTCACAGTTTCAGAGGTCTCAGGCCTTAGACAGCTGACTCCATTGCTCTCTGCCTGGTGTGAGGCAGAGGAGAGCAGCTCAGAATGTGACTACCAGGAAGCAGAGAGAGACTAAAATAAGCTCATTAGGGACATAATATAACCCCAAAGGCACACCCCTAGTACCTACCTCCTCCAGCCACACCCTTCCTGCCTTCAGTCACCATCCAGTTAATTCATTCAAGTTAACAAATGCAATAATTAGGTTAAGGCTTTCATAACCCAATCATTTCACCTCTTGAGTATCCTTGGATTATCTCACATATGAGCTCTTGGGGACATCTCATATCTAAACCATAACAAGCACTAAACCCATTCATGAGGACTCTATCCTCATGACCTAATTACAAAGACCCAGGCTTTGACATGTCAATTTGGGGCCGTAGCTGACACAAATGCCCAGTTCTATATGTCACGGAGACAGCAGGCCATTTGTTCCCAGTGACTTGTTTTACAACATTTGTTTGATATGGTTTCATATCAGTGTTATTGTGACATCAGTGTCTTCATCAGGTTCATCGTTTTTTTTTATGTTATATTCTAGGTGTGTTTTAAATCACCATGTTGATAATAAGAGAATAAATACAGAAATAGATGAAATCTGAAAGGAAACGAAATAAGTGATAATGTCTTACAACTTTCTTATTCCTATTTTGAAAGAATTGTTTTTATTAATTTGTTAATTGGGGTTTTATTTGTTTGCTTGTTTGTTTATACTCTAGGTGTCCTCTCCTGTTGCCAATTCTGGATCCAGAATATACAGTCAGAAAAATAGTAGATGCTATTCTTCAGGAAAGGCTGTATTTGTGTATTCCAAAGTTTTTATACCTCATGTTGTTTTTAAAAAGGTATCAGTATCAGTTTTTCTATTACTTCCCTGACATTACAATCAACAGTTTAATCCAAATCATACCAGGAGGAGCCATTTTTAAAAAAATTGTTTAATTAATTTTAAAAGGGAAAGTCAATGTCCTGATGATCCCAGCTTTGTACCCCATTTGTTGATACAATCCAAAATTTCCGTAGCTGCTATTCCTCCCATGAGTCAAGAAGAAAGTGCTGGACCCTCCCTGCTACCTTAGTGTATTGCATTATTATTAGCAGTGGATTTCCTGAATTAACTGGGAGCAGATTGAAATTGTGTGTTTGGGAGAGATGCTTTTTCTTGTTCCCATCATGTTGGAATAGATTTTGTGTCCAGGCTTACTCAAGTTTAGGGCCCCAAGATGAAGGCCAAACAGTAAGCCAAAAACCTCAGAAAATTGTGGTTCAGATAAAATTGGTAATAGATCATAAATTTGAGCAATAAGATGTTTAAAGAACTCCAAAGGAAAAAAAAACTAAAAGAAAACCACCTCTTAAAAGCACGAAGAGCATTTCTGCCCATCCTTCTGTGCTCTCCATTGGGTTTCAGGGCTGAAATTCATCAGCTACAGCTTAGGAACATTTGGCCCAGATACAGGAAAGGTGTAGCTCATCCATCATCTCACTACATCTTCTAGACTTGATGGGTCATTTATGTCTCTCATCATAGGGTTTTTTCTTTTGCACTTTCCACTGTTGACCTGTCGAGTTGAAACGAGGTTGTTTCTGGTTGGTTCTAGCCCTGTCCCCAGCTGAACATGTAATTCCATTCCTTTTGACTCTTACAATTCTTCAGTTATTTGAACATAGATACAATGCTTTGAGTTCACCACTTGACTAGCAGCCATTGCCCTTCCTGCATAAGGAAATTTATTTTCTCATTATCAAATGAGGGTTTATATAATTAGATTTTATTATTTATATCACTAGATTTATTATCTATTACCTATTTTATCTATACCACAAATTTCTAAGGTATTTGGATTAGTGCCTGACCTTGACTTTGGGGCCTTATACTTTGTGCAATGAACCAAAAGTCTTTCTTACCTCCTATCCTTTTCCAGGCTTCACCTAGCACAGGAGGGATCAATATGGCTTGTGGAAAGATGTCTGAGGCAGGGTGAAGGGTCTCTGACAAACAGTTTGAAATCCAGGGTTATTATCTTGCTGTTTACCAAGTCTGTGATTCCTAGCATGCCCCAGATTCCACAGGCCTCAGTTTCTTCATTTACAGTGTTTGTCAGAGCTGTAGATATAGATGAGTGTAATGTACTTAGTGATCAGGTAGTGCATGTATTCACACAGTGAATACTTCTTGCCTACTAGCAAAGGCAAGCTCTAAGAATATGGGACGTAATTTTTCTACTCTGAATAACTGTGGAAGTTGTACTTGCATTTAATGTACATAAGTTCAGAGTCATCTATGAAAAGAGGGCTAGACAGTTCCTGAGAAGGACAGAGGAAACATGAAGAGGCTCAGGGAAGAGGATCACGTGAAACACTTCTTCAAACATTCATTTAGCAAACATTTAGAGAGCTGTGTGTGTGTGTGCCATTTACCACTCACTGCCCCAGGACCTGATGTTACAGCAAAGAACTATCATCATGGAAATTGCCTTCTTAGGAGTGGGTGGTGGGAAAGAATCACACAAAAAAACGTAAAGGAAAAGGAAAGGTATGCTGATCGTCATAAGTGCTCTGAAGAAATACAAAGCCAGAAAAGGAATCTCGGGGCAGGAGGCAGAGGGGAGCCAGTTAAGACTTAAGTGAAGTGCTAGGGAAGGACTCCCCAAGAAATTAGTGCTTATCCAGAGACCTGAAGTTGGGGGGGGGGGGACGTGAACCACCTGGAGATCTTGGGGAGCCCCCACAGGGGACAGCAAATGCAGAGTCCTTTTCTTTACTCTAGGACAGGTCTCCGTGTACTGGACCTGCCTTGACATTTCCTCATTCTGCAGTGTTGAAGGTCAAGATCAACAGTGCTGTATCCGAGTGATGGTCATGGGTGTCTGTGGGGCAAGTGGGGATAGAGGAGATGAACCATGTTAGTCTGGTCTTGCCAAAGGTGTGAGGACCTGTTGCATCTTGTCCTCATGGTAGTCCAAGAAGGAAAGATGGATGCCTTTGAGGAAACCCAGGCCTATAAGCTAAGTAATTTGCTTGGGCTAGTTTTGCAAATGACAGAGCTAGAAGTCCAGCCAGATGCCTCTACCTCCAAAGTCCATGCCTACAAGCCCAAGACTTCTCTGCTTCCACTCAGTATTATGTAGGTTAGTGATGCTGCAGAAATGAAAGGAGAAGTGAATTGAAAAAGGTAAGTAAAGCCAGGAAAGCTAAATATAAAGACCCCCTGAGCAAGTGTCCCCTATATAATAACAAGGTTGTTAGCCTTAACTGCATCTGCAAGAAACAATGATAGTTTTCAGCTGAGCAAAGATGCTTTCATGAATGGTAACCAAGAAGGTTTATTCTTTTGGTTCTCTCTCTCTTTTATTTTACTTTCTATTTATTTTTATTTTTATTTTTTTTAGTTTCTTGCCCGCCAAGACAGGACTGATCATAGGTGAATACCTGGGTATCTTAGAGTCAATGGAAGGTTTCACTGGCCAAAAGAAGAAAGTCTAAAGACCGACTCCATGACTGATTCCATCGGATACCCAATGCTACATCGCGTTTGTTTTGAATAAGAAAAATAATTTTGTTCAACAATAGAACGTATCTGGAAACAAGTACCATTCCTATTTCTGCTATCTGGACTAGAATTTTCAACCCATGTCTTTGAAAAAAAAAAAAACATTGCTGTCTTCTTTTTGTTGAGTTTGGTTGTATTGTTTTAAAAAATAAAAGCAGTCAATTTTTGTCATTTCCAGTTACAACAGATGTGTGAGAGAGATAAGTTCCTCTGATCTCCCCTAAGATTTGGTCACCAGGGAGGTGTCTCCTATGGAGCAGGTGGCTGTGTTTGAGCCTGTCTGGGCAGTGAGGTGCTGGGGAGAGCACACAGCAAGTAGCTGGAATGCCCTCTTTCCAGAGGACACAGAGGTCTGGATTTCCTATAATCTTCTCTCGGCGTTGGCCATTTGGAACCCAGATCACCTAATGTAGAAAATGCCAATCCCCTGTGCTTTCTTTCCAATGCAGCTTCATAGATGCTTGCTTCTTGATGCCCTGGATACTGGGTTGTCCAGCTGAAGGTTCAGCCAGAGCCATGTGTCAGGGAACCTTACCAGTCCCTTTTCCTGAAGGTTCCTGTTAGACAGTGATCCTAGACCCAACTCTCAAATGGGCTCCCATTTTGTCCCCTAGAAGAGATCAAAGAATGATTGCAACTTGCTCAGAAATTGAAATTCTACAGAATTAGATTTATTGCTAATTTACCCCCAAAATATTCTTATGATTAATTTAAAGTGTTTAACTTCGTACAAGTTGGGATTCACCGTAAAGTATTTTTTTCCACAGAATGAGCAATTTTATGCCTTTCAATTCACCAGCACTGCCCTCACCTTGAAGCTATTGTGTTCTTACAGTTTAATCAACTGGCAAATTGCTTTCATGCTTTGGAGATTAACTTTAAAAGCAAGATTAAGAAAAATATGTTAATTACCACAACCCTGGAACTCCTTCCCAGGCTGGTGGGGACACCTGCCTAGTGCAGGAAACAGTAGCCTTTTTGTCCCTGCTCTCTTGGGAAGCAGGAAGGGACGTGAGATACCTTGGAAGACCCTAGAAGAGGAAAAAAAGAGAGAATATGAATTTCTTAAGGGTAAGATGTTACTCTTAGAGGAGCAATGGGCTAAGGCAGTATGGGGTCTAGTATACATGTGGACTGATTCATCTTGAGCCGCCTACATAATACTGAATACTGTCTTCCTCTGTCTCCTTTCCACTCAGCCTTCAAGAACTGCCTTATCATAATAATGACGAACATTAATATTTATTGTGCTCAGTGCCAAGCTAATCACTTTATAAACATTTCATTAAATAAGAATATCACATCATGACTCAAACAAAATGAATAAGGTATTTGGTATAGTGTGTGACTAAGTAAGGAACACAAGGCATTTCATTTCACAGAGAGGCGCCCGACCCAACTAAGATGTGTACTGAGAGGATCAAAGACCCTCTTAGACTAACCAACTGATGTTCCAAATCCTTGGTTAACAAGGTTAATTAAGAGAGAAGCACAATATTGCTCCTATATTACAATTCCAAGAGCGTATATTCTGGGGGCCTGTCTATTTAGTTGAAGAATAAAGAAGAGGCTCTTAGGGGATTTAGCAGAACAAAGGTCTGGGGGACAGAGTGGGCATCCACCACATCATAACAGCATTAGCAGCAATTATTTCTAATTGGAGTGCATCTTGGCTGGGCTGCTACAAAGGCCTGAAATTCAATTGTGGTTTAACAATACCCATAAAATTGTCTAAACAAATTCAGATTCACTTGAGGCTATCCTATGAGAAGAGACCACATGTAAATTAGAGGATTCTAGAGGATAATAAATAACAAGGTGATTTAATGGCCCTGGGGAGTGGATGCTCTCACATGTGTTTTATACCCATTTCCAGCTGAAATTTAGTTCTAATAAAGCCATGATCAAGAGCCCAGCACCGAAGTAAGTTTGAAGGGATGGAGCTCGGCAGGACCAGGGCACACTGCCCTCTTAGGGTACATCAGCCAGGATTCTGGCCTCACTGTGCTGCTCAAAAACTAAGAAGAATCCTTGCTATGAGAAGGAGTTTGGGTAAAAATGTGTGCCCATGTTTGCTTTTTTTGGTTTGGGGATTTTTGTATGGTTTTGTTTGTTGTTGTTTGTTTGTTTGAAGAGTAGTTTTACATTATCATGCTCTCTTACCTCAAGCTGCCATTAAAATACCATAGACTGGTTGACTTAATTGACAGAAATTTATTTTTGATGGTCTGGAAGCTAAAAGTCCAAGATCAGGATGACAATTGATTGATTTTCTCGTGTGGGTTCCCTTCGCTTCCAGGCTTATAGACAGCTGGCTCCTCCCCGTGTCCTCACATGGCCTATCCTCCGAGGGCATGAAAAGAGAGCCTCTCCTCTCTATAAGAATACTAATTCCATGATGAGCCCCCACCCCCACCCCCTTATAACCTCATTTAGTTGTGATCACCTCTTAATGCCATCACAATTGACAGGGTTTCAATATATGAATTTTGGGTGACACAAACATTCAATCCATAGCGGGTATCCAGATAGAAGAGAAAAGCCAGACGGTACATGACCTTGACATTCCTTATCCTGATACTGAGATGGTCACAGTTCATCCAACGAAACTGTTACTGGAAATGGAAACTTTTGACTCTGTATCAAACAAAATAATGAATGCTAAGCTTGACGTTATCAATAAAAATGAATGCCACCAAGTTAAGTGAGCACAAATATATAGACAAAGCTTTAATCTGGAAAAGAAGAGGGGGCCTCATATTCCCGTGAAGGGGATAGACTGATTGAGCAAGTAATCAAAAATGTCCCTCAAGAATAACCTAGCCATTTCTTTCTTTCTTTCTTTTACTTACTTACTTACCAACTAACTTACTTACTTATTGGTACTAGGGATTGAATCCAGGGGCACTTTACCCCTGAGCCACAACCCCAGCCCTTTCTTATTTTTTATTTTGAGACAGTGTCTCACAAAGTTGCTTAGGGCCTCACTAAATTGCTAAGGCTGGCCTTGAACTTGCTGTCCTTCTGCCTCAGCCTCCTGAGCCATTGGGATTACAGGCATGCACCACTGCACCTGATCGCAACCTTTTATTAAGAGGCTAGACCAGAAGGGCCTGGTATCTCTATGATCATTCCTTTACGGAGCTTCTTGTGGAAGATAGTCTTGTAATATCTCTTGGTGCTACTCAACCTGGGGTTTATGATTGAATTGATTTAAGAATAGGAGGGGGGACTGGGGTTGTGGCTCAGTGGTAGAGCACTCGCCTAACACATGCGAGGCCCTGGGTTCGATCCTCAGCATCACATAAAAACAAATGAATAAAATAAAAAGTATTGTGTACAACTATAACTAAAAAATAAATATAAAAAAATAGGAGAATAAGTAAAGATATATTCCATTCACTATAAGAGTACGAGAACAGGAAAATAAGAGTATGAGAACAAGAAAATTTTGATCAAGAGATTATGAATTCAGGCCCAAGAGTTTATCTGCCATTGGCAGAGTGAATTAGAGATACTTGAAAAAAACTAATTCCAACCTCTGGAAGTCAGCACTTGAGAAACTTTGGGCCACTAAACCAAAACATGTGAGACAAGTTATCCCACGCAGAGACACTCTGTGCAGAGAGTATATGCCAGTTGAGATACCTTCAACATTTCCAGACTAGTGACCTGTCATGGAAGAATCCCCAGCACACTTCCCTTCCCATCTGCCAAACAATTTCCCTTTGCTTTCAGTGAACAAACCACAACTGGACATTGAAGAGGGCCTCTTGTCCAGATTCTTCTTTTTTCCTCATAACCTTCCTACCATATTGGAAACCAAACCTGTAACTAGTGCACCAGCCATTGAGCTCTATCCCACCACAACAGCAGCTCTGTCTCCTCTCCATTAGTAATAGCATTTAAAATGGAGCTGAGAATAATTTGTCCATATCTTCACCTCACATTGGTCCTAAGACATCCAGTTTCCATGTCATGAGTATTTTTATTAATAATTCCTCCTCATATTTGGTTTCCCACAACTGACATTATTAATCACTCAACTCTCAGTCCCAGTGACCCCTCTGGTTCTTGGCCTCTGTTATTGTTCCCTCTTCAATTTGTTGATATTCTGCAAGTCTTGACTCTTGGATTCCTCTGGGGGCTCTTGACCATGTCTCTTGCTCCCCTAGACCATCCATGCCAGAAATTCAGGTGTCATGTTCTAATTTTACTTCTGTCTCTCACTTCTCTATCCAATTAGTGGTCAAGTCCCATCTCCTGTACCTTGCAGCCTGACAAGCATATTCTCCTCTCTGGTTCCGCTGCTATGGCGTGATCTCAGGCTCTGGACATCTGTTCCCTGTTGCTGTAATAGTCTCCTGACCTGCCTCTCTGCATCATGGCTTGCTACTCTGTTAGAGAGGATTACGTTCTTCTGGGATAACTGAGGACACCAACATAACAAAAGCTTGAGTTAAGCAGGAGCATTACCTCTCTGATGTGTAAAATGTCTAGCAGTAGTGGTTGAGGGTTGGTAGGGTGCTCAATGAGTCAGGAATTACCACAGTGTCTGGAATGTCCCCCAAAGGTCCATGTTAAAGGCTTGGTTCCCAGCTTGGCATTATGAGGAAGCATTGGAACTTTTAAGAGGTGGGGCCTAGTGGAAGGTGATTGGTTCAAGCCCTCAAATGGGCTTGTGGAATCCCAGCCCATACTCTTGCTCTCTTCCATTTCCCAGCCATTCTGTGAGTGGTTTTTCTCCACCTCATGATCCCTTCATGATGTGTCCAAAGACCCAAAGGAACAAGACCAAGTGATTATAAACTGAAACCTCCAAAATTCTGAACTAAAATGAAATTTTTTTCTTTGTAGGTCAATTATCTCAGGTTATTTGTTACATTACTGGAAAACTAACACAGAGAGCCAAGCTTCTTCTGTGCATTTGTTCAGCTATGCATGAATTCCATCACTGTTGTCAATGTCTCAACAACCATTGAAACCCCCCAAATAATGCTCACATTCTAGCCTGTAAGAATCCAGAGGGCAGAAGGCACTCCCATTCCCTTACAAAATAATCCATGGACATTTCATACCCCACAAACATCATGTCCTTTGGGCAGGATTATTTACATGACTACACTGATTTGCAAACAACACTGAACAATGTGATCTTTATTTTGCACTGCCATGAGCAAGGAC